TGAAAAGACACAATAAACATTCATGCTGAATTCGGTTAGGCTGGTGAAGTTTACATATGTCACTTCTATAATACAGGTAAATGTGAACATTTTCTAAGGTTGCAAAGCTTTTGTACGTTGGAATTTTAACAATTCAAAAGGATTTTATGGTAACAATCTGTGGGAGAAAGCCAGGCTACATTTTCACATATTTTGTGCTGGTCTGCCTCTCCCATTCAGTGCTTGAGAACGATTTCATCTAACCACCAAGAGTTTGATTTACTGTTACTACAGAGTTGATTTTCATGAAAAAAAAAACGAGTGGGAACAGAAGTATAGGTGAGACCTAACATTTCCCCTACACTTGTCCTGCTCTGGCACAGAGCCACATCCAGCTTGGACACGAGTCACAGGACTGTGGATTGCAGCACTGTATAGGAAGCACCGGGGATTTGCTTGGACAAAAGAGTAATAAACTATGGGTCACAGCAAAAGAAATTGAAAATTTATGGTTTCTGTTCTGAAGTTTCCTTCTTTCCTTTCTTCCTTCCTTCTTTCTTTCCTTCCTTCCTCCGTCTCTCTTTCCCTCTCTCCCTCTGTCCTTCCCTCCCTTCCTTTTTTTGAGACAGAGTCTGTCTGTATGACCTCAACTGGCCTCAAACTCTCCATCCTTCTGCCTCAGCCCCCCAAGTGCTGAGATTACAGGTGTGTAACTACCATGCCCTGTTATTCTGAAGTTTTTCAATTAAAAGGGGTGGTTTATTTAATTCTCACTAGTAACACTCAGCACAATATCATGAAATAAAACAAACCTTTCACTTGGTTAAAAAAAAAAAAAGCCAATTGATGTAGCTTGCTTCTGTTAGACACCATGGATTGCTTACTCAAATGCTAATCTCTCCTTATATATACTAAGAGACCCCAGTTTGTTCAGCTATTATGCACCTGTGTGGTTTATGAGAATTGGGGCCTCTCTAAGGACCAGAGGTGAAGAAGATAGATACACAATCATGGTATTTCATTACCCTTGGTGAAAATTGGTATAGTAAAAGATATCCGGGCAACGGCTTGGAACCTTTAGGTAAGTCTTCCTTGACCAACAAAAAGGAGATGAGGAAATGAAGCATCTTCTTCCCTACATTCAGTCTTGAGTCATTATTGTGTGAGGATGTGATGCTTGGAGCCACTGCAGCCATCCTGGGACCTGTGACCTTCATACTGAAACATATCTCTATCTCTGTAAACTAGAGTTAGCCCAAGTGAACTACAGAGATCATCAAATTCAATGGTTTCATTATTTTTTGTTAAGCTGGATTTCATGCTGTTTGACTCACTAATATTCCCTGAAGAAAATCACAACTATAACCCAACCATGAAGTTTGGGAAACAGTGATGAATATGAATATAATTGGATTAATTAGATGCCACTCAGAGACAAAGTTTATAATGTGACCCCTTTAGATACAGAAGTAACTCACTGGGGTGGGCAGATTATTCCTAGAATACTAAAAACCTGAACCTGAGCTCACTGAAATGGGTGAATTTAATATTTACAAATTCAAAAGGTCATTAGCAATTTGTTTAACCTTGTCTTGAGTATTAAGATTTAGCTTAAACTAAAGTAACAATTTGTTGAGTGTTTGTTCTGTAGGGTTCAACTCAAACAGCTTCCTAGTTCTCACAGCAACTCAGCTAAGCACTGTGTTGTGCCCATTTTGTGGATGAGGATGTTGAGGTTAGGGGAGGCTAAATAGCTTGCAGAAGATCACAGTGCTGGCAAGTAGAAAAGCTTCGATGTGCAGTCTGACACAAAGCTCAAACTCCTAATCACTGCATTTACTTACTACCCGATAATCAGCTTGTGGTCATCAGGTCGCAGATGCTGTAGGGTGCTTCATAACGACTCTACCTTTCTCCTCTCACACAGAACCTCTGTTTTTTTTTGTGATCAATTTAATGAACTGTGGCAATCCTACTTCCTTTGTCAGTGACTGGTCTGAAGTGGATATGTGACCATTTTTCTAGCCAATATGGGACATTTTATGAGAAGCAGTCTAGGACGGATCTTTCTCCATCATAAAAATGGGGCTGCATTTCCTTACCCTCCCTTCCTGCTTCAGCCTCTGAAGATGTGATGTCTGGAGCTGTGGCAGCCAAATTATAATTAAGAGGTGACAAACTTGGAGACAAAAGTCAGTATGCATATGAGGGCAGAGATCAAACAGAAAAAGAGCTTGGGTCTTTGATAACGTGATTATGCTACTGGGCTGATCCTGAAACAACCTAAACTTGAACTTTATGTTACAGATGTAATGAATGACTGTGCTTTAAGCTACTGTTTGTCAGATATTTTATTCCTTATGGCCAAGGACATCCTAACAGATATAGTCTGGGCAGAGGAGGATGTTTTTGGAGTTTCAGGAAAAACAGATAATTGGAAAATTATCAAGATGTCATCCAGGAATTTATTAGCATAGGTAGAAATCTGTGCAATACACAGGATGTCTGTGCTAAACATTTCCTCCTTCTAGATGCATGGTTTCCTCTTCTCCAGGAGACTGACTAATCCAGAGGGCAACAGAAGTTTCCCTGGCCCTCTGGCTTTGTGTCGGATCTGGCCATTGGGAGCATCAGCAGAATGGAGGAAGGAGGTAAAATACAAATCCTGGGTGGGCACAGTGACTCATGCCTATAATTCCAGCAATTTGGGAGGTAGAGATAGGAGGTTATGGGTTTGAGGCCAGTTTGGGCAAAAAGTTAGCAAGACTCAAACTCAAGCCAGGCATGTTGGAGCACTCCTGTAATCCCAGCTATGCAAAGGGTGGAGGTAGGAGGACCGTGCTTGGAGACCAGCCTGGGCAAACAGCATGAGACCCTATCTGAAAAAGAACAAAGACTGGTGGGGTGGCTCAAGTACTCAAGTGTCTGCCTAGCAAGCGTGAGGTCCTGAGTTCAAACCCCAGTACTGCCAAAAAAAAAGAAAAATCTAAAAGATCTAAATCTCAGGCAGCCTGTCTGTGCTTGAGTTTTGCTGTTTCTTCCCCAGCTTCTACAGACAGGGAACCTGTAATCCCAGACATCTTGTGCTTTCCCACGCCCTGTCCACATCTATGTTAAGTGCCGTGTGTCCCACCAAGACTTTGAGGATACTAAGGTGTGAACGAAATCACTGTTGCTGTTGAAGTCTGGTGAGATTTCGTGGAGTTATTCATAGTCTAGATAAGGGCTTTCAGCTGCCATAAAAGGGAGCCAAAGGACAACAGGAGTGTCAGGTTACAAGACTAAAACAAGGGATCCGTAGCTCAGAGAAAACACTTGCCACCTGAAAGCAAGAAATCCCAGAAGGCTACCTGGAAGAGATGGCATGGGATGAAGATGGGTAGGATTTTTACAAGAGATGAAGGGCAGTCCACAGGGCAGAGTGCAAGTAAAGCTAGAGAGGAGAGAAAGCTCAAGGAGGTTTTCTGAAAAAATTAGGGATCTAGGTCTCTAGGTGGAGGTCTTCCTTCACCTCCTTTATAGACTAGAAAACCCGAAGCAAGGATTTGACAAGTAAACAGAATGTCAGAACTCCAGCTAAGGACTGCTGGCTCGCAGGCTAGTTCCTAATCCATCTTCCACCCCCATCTGCTTCCTGTCAGTCTGTCCCACTAAGCTGCGACGTCCAGAGCAAGGCCTCCGTTGTCTTTATCCTTGGACCCCAGTAGCTAGCAAAAGTTGCACCTGACACAAAATTGTGATCATCAGCTACTAAATGTTAAGAAGCATTTCATATGTATCTTATGCACGTCTCACAACAGGTTGCACAGCTAGGTTTAAGATTCTTTTTCAGCTGAGGATGCGTGGTCGAGAAAGGGTGTGTAACTTGCCCGAGGTTACATAGCAGTTATATGAAGGAGTCTTTGCTGAAGGAATGAATGAAGAAAAAACACTGACTCCATGGAAGCGATGGGCTGTAACAGGCCGCTGGGGACGCGGCCCGTAGTGGTCAGTGTAAGCACACCCAGCTCAGCTCTGAGGCTCCGCCCCCTCTCGTAGCCACGCCCCCAGCTGGAGGACTTGGGTCTCTTTCTTTCTCTCTCTCTCTCTCGCTCTCTGTTTCTGCGTGAGCGAGTTTCCCTGGCTCCAGCGGCAGGGCGGAGGGCCTCTCAGGGCCGGCGACCTGCAGTCCAGTCCGCTCCCCTGCCCGGCCCTCCCCTTCGCCCTCCCTCACTCTCCAAACTTCTTTTCCACCCTGTCTAAACTTCAGTCATTCTAGCGCCCGCCTCCTCCACTCCCACTAACCAATCATCGGTCAGCATTCTCGCCGAGGATCCGCCCCCCGCCCGCCGCAAACCAATCCCCGGCGCGAGTGTCGAGTGCTGGGCTCGCTCCCAAGTGCCCGGTCGGTGACGGCAGCGCGCCGGGCGCCGCGCGGCGGGAGGGGGCGGGGCTCGGGATGAGGGATGGGCGAGGGGGAGGGGGAGAAGGGAAGAGGGAGGAGGAGGTTGCGGCGGGTTTGAAAGCGGCAGTTTCCTGGCAGCTCCGGCAGGCGTTGGTCTCGGCGCTCCAGCTCCGCAGCGGCCACGATCGATCCGGCGACCGGTCTACGCGCGCTACTGCGCGCCCCCGACGGATTTTTCCCGTTCCGGCTCTTCCCTCCCTTCAGCTCCCCGCCCCCCTTTCCTCAGCCTTTCCCGCCGCTCGGGCGCCGAGCCCGGGGTGGGGGACCAGCCGTCGGCAGTGACCCCGCCCGAAGCCCCTGCTGGAACCGCCCGCTCGGGGACAATTCCCGGTTCCTTTCTTCAGCCCCGCCCGCGGTGGCCCTCGCGGAGCCCAGCCGGCCCCGGGGAGAGCGCGGCCGGGAGAGGCGTCCGAGGGGGCGTCTCGGGGCTCGGGCCCCGAGCGGGCTGTGGTCGGGGGGCCGGAGCGGCGAGGCCCCCCTGGCCGAGCTCGGCGAGGGCCGCCGGGGTCCCTCTACCCCCCCCAGGCTGAGTGAGCGGGGCCGGGAGCGGCGCCCCGGCCGCCCGCGCGGGGTCTCCCCCATGGTGCAGCGGGGGTCGGGATGTCGAAGACGCTGAAGAAGAAGAAGCACTGGCTCAGCAAGGTGCAGGAGTGCGCGGTGTCCTGGGCCGGGCCCCCGGGCGACTTGGGCGCCGAGATCCGGGGCGGCGCGGAGCGTGGCGAGTTCCCTTACCTGGGGCGGCTCCGCGAGGAGCCGGCTGGCGGCGGCGGGGGCACCTGCTGCGTCGTCTCGGGCAAGGCGCCCAGCCCCGGGGACGTGCTGCTGGAGGTGAACGGGACGCCTGTCAGCGGGCTTACCAACCGGGACACCCTAGCTGTCATCCGCCACTTCCGCGAGCCCATCCGTCTCAAGACCGTGAAGCCAGGTACGCGGCCCTGCCTGCCTATTTGTCTGTCTGTCTCGCGGGGTGGGCGTCCTGGATTGGCGACACGTCCCTGCCGTTTGTTTGCTTGTCTGTGCCGGGTAATCGGACCTTTAGGGTGTGCCTGACTCCCGGCCACAGGGAGGGGTGGCGCTGGTGCTTTCCCATTTTGCCGATGGGAACACTGAGCTGCTTTGCCAGGCTATCCTCGAATTGGGGCCAGAAGCTGGGTTGCCTAAATTTGTAGCTAGCTGGGTCCCCCACCGTAGACGGGAGTTTCTGGAGACACCTTCCCTCTCCTGCTCTGCTTTGTGGAAGAAGATGTTTTAGGATTGTAGTGTTTGCTTTGGAACGGTCTTGTGCATCTTGTGACAGGGGAAGGGTCTTTACTATGGAGCCACTTGGTGCCAAGGTTACCACCTAGCGCACTTGGGAGGGCTTAGCCGCTCCAGGGCTGCAGACGTCTACGTTTCGGGGCTGACAGCTGAACTCTGTCCGGCCAGGTGGTTCAGGTGTCTCGGTACCGATGACGATCTGTGGCCGCGGTGTGTGTGATAATGCCAGGGAGCTGCTGAATGGAGTCGGGTTTTGCAGGAAGACACAGGTTCCTAGCCGAGTGATTGCTTTGGGAAAGCTTCCGATTTGACAGAATTTGGTCCAAGTGTTGGGTCAGAAGAGCCCCTGTTGTCGCCTCGGTGTCTTTCGTGCTAGTAAAATCTGCTGCAAAGCACGTTACGTTTATGGCACATTTGCCAGTTTCATAGCATTGATCACGTTGCGTACAGTGTGATGGGGGAGTGTGTAGTGTCTTACGAATTTGTGAGAACATTGTTGGTCGTTTCAGCACTGGTAAAATGCGGTTCTGACTTCTGAGCTGTTGGTAGGCGCGAGAATTATGATTACAGCGTTATTAGAAATCAGATTGTTTCCGCTGAATGTGCTCTACTGAACATACGGTGCATCAGAATATAATGGGATAATTGTGACCTGGGCTGTATCCGGTCTGTCTCTTCATCGCCAAATGCTAGAAGATCCTGGAGAAAAACTCAACATGCTCTATCCCTCGCATTTTTTTTCTTTCTCAGCAGCTTACTTTGGATATATTTCTTTACTATCCTTGAGCGTAATTAGAATTGGTGAATTGATGCAATATACACACGAATCTGTGTTGTGAGTTTGTAGCACACACTCACCAAGTCCTACAGTCTTAAATTAAGGTTTTCTTCAGATAGTCCATTCTGTCATATTCCTTTTAAGTTTATGGGTTTATGTGAGGTTTCTTTTATATCGTTAATTTTCAGAACTTTGGCAGACTTTAAACAGCTTTTTCTATATAGTTTTGAAAATTGTAAGATTCTTTCTTAACTGACTTTTAAAGCCATATGTGAAGGGGTAGAGGAAAGACTTTGGGAGGCTGCAATCCAGCTAATACAGTTACTGTCTGTAATATGCAAAATAGGACATGGACAGCATTTGGAGTCAGGTGCCATTAGTCCAGATCCCACTAGTCTGGGAATAATGAGAACATCTGCATCCTTGCTCTGTGTTTTGTTTTGAAAAGTTGGGGCATGGATATCAAAAAACAAAAAACTCGTAAAGTTGATGGATTGATGAGGAAGCTGGTGTATTCCAAATTGTTGTGATTCTTTTAGAAGACCAGAGAGATGGCTCCTTAGTTAGTATTAGTCTGGTTTACAAGTCATACCTTTCTTTTTCAGTGTTTGCATCAAATTTAAATACTTCATGGTTTAGAGTATATGCAGTAGTATTGACTATGTTGAATAAGCATCCTGTGGCTGAGACTGTAACTCACTTTTTATACTAACAAAATTGTGCCTTCTTGCCAACCAGAGAAACCGTGCTACTTTAAATGTATAGCCAAAATAAAGGGGATAATGCATATTAAAGGCTGAAATACATTTTGTAATCATAGATAACAGTTCTGAACACTTACTGTTTTTGGCAGGACTGGGGTTTGAATTCAGGGCTTCCTGCCTACTAGGCAAGCACTCTACCCCTTGAGCCCCCAAACCTGTTTTGTTTGTAGTTATTTTTAGATAGGGTCTCATGGTTTTGCCAATCACTTTTTTTTAAAGATGAACTCTGCAGTCATAATTTCTAATAGATTAAATTGTGTCTCTTGGTTCTAAGCAAGTTGTAATTTACCCATTTTTAATCTCTCATGTTAGGTATTATATTAAAATGACTTTCTTAAATAGCTCTGCTTAAAAGCAGCATTTGTACTAAAATAGCAAAATTTTTGCAGGTTAAACACAAGGCTTTAAATATTAGAAATTAAGAACTTGAAGATGTTATTTGCAGAACTTCGGGTTTGATTAAAAACAGCATAATATTATCTCCAGAGGAGACAAAGATTCTGTACTCTTGTGATTGATTTAGAAAAGGATGACAATACAGAGTAAAGAGATTTAGAAAGAAACTTGCCATGCCCATTTTTTCTTTTTATCTAAACTTTGTGAGATGGATTTTTCAATTTAAAAAGGTATTATAAAGTATACTTAACTCACTGCCTCTTGTCTTGACTAGACACTCGTTGTTAAACCGTATTCAGAGCATGTTATTTAGAAAGTAGCCCAGTATAAGAATGAAATGTCACCATTTCTATAAGATGTAGTATTAATGGGGAGTGATCTCATGTTGTCTTCTGACACTGTCCCTGGAAGAAGGATGAACTGGGCTTAGGAGCTGGCTGCTGCCATTGCATGGCTTCTTCTAGCTCTGTCTGAGCATCCGTGGATGCTAAGAGGGCCCAGTGAGTCCAGTACCATCAGCCTCATAACTTAGTGAAGGGTCTTTCTGGAAATGACTGTTTTTAGCTTTGATTTAGAATTTTATCGATTTTTCTTTCTTTTGTTATAATCTTTAATGGATAATTGAAATAGCACTTTGAACTTTCGTTCCTACTTGAGGCTTTTCCTCAAGAGAATCAGGGAAATTTTTATTGGTTTACATTAGCCTATTATTTAGCAGTAAGTACTTTTCCTGCTTCTAGAATAATCTTTAAGTTCTACCTATGGCTTGGCCCAACTCGTCACCTGTTTCTTAATTGTGGCCTTATGCTTTTTTTTTTTTTTTTTTTTTCTTGCAAAGGCAGCAACTGCTCTCTTGAGTTTGAACTTGGTATTTCCCAGTGGTAAAGGAAGCTGGACTTTGCCTCTGGCGAAGTCGCCAGCATGAGTTTTTTGATTTTACTTCAGCGTAATATTCTTAAGCACCTCCTATTTTGGTTAATGAGACAAATAGCTAATTTTGTTCTAAAATTCCCCAGTTTATGTAGAATTTTAGAGTATATAAAAATTTCCTTCTTAATACACCTTTAAACATATTTCAGCAATTGTAAATTATGTGAATTTTATTCAAGTTGAAGATTAAGTATTGTTATAGTCTAAGTACAGGAAATTATTGCCTACTGCCTTATTATGTTCACATCATCTAGGGGTGAAAATCATAGGAAACCATGGTACAGTTTGTTTAAATAACAACTAATTCGAAACAGAGCTTGTATAATGTTAGGTACAGGTACAGGTAAAAGTGTTCACCACTGACTCTGGGACATCCAGTGTCTTGGGGAATTTTGTTCAAATGAACTAATTCCTAGAAATATATTCTCCTTTGGTGAAAAAACATTACTGGGGGCTTTTAATTAAGGAATGTTTATGATATGCAAATAATGAAAATACTATGTTTCTACTGTTGAGGGTTTGTTCTTTTTTTGGTTTAGTTGGTAATTTAGGGCTTCAGTGGGTTTTGTTTAGGTGATTGTAATATCTGAAGAAGAGAAGAGTAAGAGAAATGAGACCTATTTGCTAGCTAATTCCTGGATTTGCAATACCAGAAATTACTGGATGCCTTCTTTTAAGCAGTACAATCTAGAGGTTGGATAAGACAGCCCCTTGGTTAGGGAAAATAGCATTAAATTTTGATAAGCCTTACATGGGAACTTTCCTGCTTTTCCAAATTTTGGTAGCGTTTGTTGTTGGTTTTGTTCTAAAGTCTTAATAACTTAGTGGTTCGGGTTCAGGGTACTATTCATTGACACCTTCAGTTCATATAAGTGATAGGCTTATACAATGACAGCAGAACTGGTTGGTTTCCACTTAATGTCTCTTACTACATCATAACATCTTTGAACTTCTAGTCTTTTTCTAGCCATCATTTTGTAGGATTGTAATATCCAAACATCTCAGATACATTTAATTTTGTTAATTTTTCTAGTATGTCATTTTGGCTGCTTTATTGATCTTCCCTTCACCCTTAGATTTTGTGTCATTTAGTCTGTAAATTTTACTTTCCTAGGTTGAGGTATTTTAAGAATTCTTTAAAGATCTTGAGGTCTTGGTAGTATCAAAAACAAAAAACCAAACCAAACCAAACCGCTTAACATTTGGCCTTTTCAATTTTCAGATCATTTTTTATTTTATTCAGTTTATTGCTAAAGCTGATTTTCCTGGAACATAATACCATGCTTCTGTTGAATATATATTATTTTTCTTCTGAAGTCCTGGGGTATACTTTATAAAACCTCTTGTTAGGAGAGATGGATTCCAGTGACTCTTAAAAATCTGGTCTGTAATTTATGTAAATTGATGGTAAAACAAATCCTTTAACTTTACTTAAGCAGCTGACTTATGAAATCAGTGCCTGGCCTTTTTTAGGTGAATAATGAATCTTTCTTTTGTAACTCCCAAGACCTTTTTGAGTTTCATGGGCACTCAGTATTTCGGGAGTATGTTACAGGCGAATTTCACTTTCACACCACTTTAATATTCCCTACCAATTTCAAACTGCCAATTTCAGAGTCAGTTTTTAGTCTTTTGTGATTTAACAAAGGATAAAAGTTTTGGTATAGAAGACCAGAACTGTTACCTTTATTTTTGACTGTACTGAAATTTTGAGAAATCAGTCTCTTGAAATTCTACATTTTGGTACTGAGAATGAGTGCTGAAATTTGAAACTTGCCCAGGACGGTAAGATTTTCAGTA